ATATATACGATGTGAGGGATTTAATCCCGACCGTTAGATCAATTAAGATCAACGGCTAGGATCTAAGAGCTAATCAAAACGGTGTCGTTTGGTTTAGTGTTGGGATCGGGGTCGATCAGGGTAACGGGTCGGGTATGGGGTTACGGGTGAGGGTGGAGTGATCTGGACTGTTGATCCAGTGAGATCAACGGCCCTGATCAGGGCCTCCCCAAAACGATGCCTTTTGGGTGTCCGGGCAAAAGGATGTTTGGACTGGGCTGCAAAGGGGTTATTTTGGTTTGGGCCTGGTCTATTTAATTCAAAACTAGCCCAATCCGACTTTCTCTTTATTTCTTCCTTTTTTTCTATTTTCTTTTTAATTCCTAATTACCAACTAAAAATTCTAATTATAGAATTGACAATTAGCTAAAATATTAACTCTTAATAATAGCTATCACATGAAATTAATCATCAAATAAAGATGAAATCACACAATTCAGACATTAAATGCAAAGTACATATTTTTTGGTGATTTTTCCATNCTACCAATTAAACGGGGCCTGGGTTCGAACCTCCGATGCCTTTTGGACTTGGGGCCAAGACGGACCCTAGTAGAGTGTTCCTGAACGAGAACACATTCGACTACNACTGGGCTGCAAAGGGGTTATTTTGGTTTGGGCCTGGTCTATTTAATTCAAAACTAGCCCAATCCGACTTTCTCTTTATTTCTTCCTTTTTTTCTATTTTCTTTTTAATTCCTAATTACCAACTAAAAATTCTAATTATAGAATTGACAATTAGCTAAAATATTAACTCTTAATAATAGCTATCACATGAAATTAATCATCAAATAAAGATGAAATCACACAATTCAGACATTAAATGCAAAGTACATATTTTTTGGTGATTTTTCCATTTTTGTAAAACAAACCTGTTTAATTAATTCCTAAATTGTAAAATTAAATCCTAAATGCGCATGCAACACATATTTTTGTATTTTTCTTAATTAAAGTAGAAATAAACATGCACAGACAAAAATACAAATAAATCACAAACAACACAAAACCATTTTATTTTGAATTTTTGTGGGAGTAGTTCTCGTATGGCAAAAATCACGTGCTCACAAGGTAAAATATCATCTACTCTTTAGTTATAAAATGGATTCGATTTATATGCATTCACAGCATCAATATTTTTTTTTATAATACCATTGTACTTTAATTTGTGATATAGCAGGTTAATTACTATTTTTTTAAGGTTATCAAATTAATTTTTATTTTAGGTATTAATTACTATACGTTACAAGTGACATGATTTGAAATTACTTCTTTGTTGTCTGTATGTGCGTAGAATTTAAACTCAGAAAAAGAATTACGATTTCACTTGTTCTTATTTTTCTTCTACTCTACGTGTAGGCCAAGACGGAGCAATGGGTAGAATCAGCAGACAGTACAGCAAATTCCTTTAATAAAATTGAAGATGCAATTCAAAGAGCTCGTGAGTCAGCTCAACGAAAAAGGAACAGAATTCTGGATTCCTTCATCAGGTATTTTTATTTGGGCAAAATACAAAATTGGTAGGCCGGCTGAAACTAATTGCATTTGCTAGCCAAAAAGTATATAAAATAAATACTATATTATATGTATAAAATACACATATATACACACAATATACATTTTGTCTGTTATTGTTTTTTGGAGAGGCTAAAAATATACATTTCTCTTTTTATTTTCATTAATAATTTTTAATAAATATTTTTGGTAATATTTAATTAGTTTTCTTTTTTTTCTTTGTTCTTGTTGGTTGTCTTTTAGACTGGAGAGCAAATGATGCACGTGGCTCAAGGCGCAGTTGATGGGGTGAAGAACACACTAGGAATAGGATCAAACAAAAACAAATGAAAGTAAAGATTACCAAATTAATATTGTACCATTTTTCTATTGGTTTCATTCTTATTTTTTTCCCTTTTTAGTGTGCCTTTATTATGCTACGAGTGAAATATTAGTAGTAGTTCGTATGTGATTTGAAGAGATTCAATAGTATGGTAAAAACCTACTCGCATTTATAATCATAATTATCATCACTATGTTATACGCATATAATAAAGTTTATTGGTGTTTGGGTAATAGATTACTTGTTAAATGAACCAAAAAGAAAAAAAAAATACCTCAATATGAGATAATTTGTTACAAGTGTTTGGAGTATTTCACGCTTAAATAATAATATTGTGACAATCCCCTAAGATACTCAAATTTTCCAACAGATAAAAATTTATTTGCAACCGATGTTTACTATTGTTGTTGTCTGTAGTTTAGGTCCATTGAGTGGGAAGAAGTACAATTCATTGTGAATTTGAGATAGAGTCATAGGGAGAAAATCAGGAGCATAGTTCAAGTCTCGTTTTCGCTGAGTCTGATTCTCTATGACGTGGACGTTTTTTATTGGATGGAGACCGATATATAAAAAGCATGCAGTTAGGGTGCTTGTTAATCACTAGGTAGCCATGTTCCGAGCAAAAATTAACCATCCATTTTAATAAAAAAATAACCATAATATTCTTGAGAAGATGAACATATCAAAGCTATTACAATAGTAATTGCAATTTGCAAACTATTTATGAAATGCTTCTATAAATTTCTAGCTTTTGGAAACAACTTTAGTAAGGATTGTTCCTTTCTTGTTATAGCTCATAATTTTCAAACTTTGCCTCAAAATATCCACTTCTCTCTCCCTCTTCACTTCTTGTTTTTCCATTGAATCAATTCTTTCTTTTAAATATGTAATTATTTCTTCTTTTGCTTTCAACTCCCCATGTAGCTCCTCTATTAACTCCACCTCTTCTGTTCTACAGTAGAGTCTTTCTCCTATGAAACAAATTACAAACATCAAGATTAAATTGTAGCGTTACAAAAATAAAATAGAATACTCCTTTAAAATAACATAATAGAATAAATTCTAGAGGATAACTTTAGTTAAACCCCTCGTATCACCGAAGGAAATGTTTGGATGATAAGTGTCACAGACGGAAGCCGGGGATTTCAACTATATGGGTTACGTATTTTAGAACGACTACTTAAAGCACTAGTATCTGGGTTCAAAATTCAATACATGTACATATGTAGTAAATTTTGTAATACAAATACATTGTTTAAGCAAAAGTTATTGTGTTCTGCATACGGGCTTCTAGATCCGGCCCTGATTCCTTAACCAAAAGTTTTAAGTTCAAGCCCCTTGGGAATATAGTCCTTTAAGGCTTTGTAACCTATTAGTGACGAAACCAGAAAATTCAATAAGAGTGTTCAAATTTTGAACACCCTTTGCCAGTAGGCTATGCAATGGTGTCCAAGGTCTATTTTTTAATCAATAAGAAGTACAATATTTTATCCTATACATAATATAATTTTTCAGCGAAGAGTGTTCAGTTGATCATCCTTTAACCCTGCATAGTTTCGCCCATGTACCCTATAGTGTACTTTCCTGATGCAAATACATATAATCTAGCAATGAATTTCGAATACCGAATATTCAAGCAAAAAAAAAAAGAAAAAGAAAGAATAAAAAGCAGGGAGGGAAGTTGGAGATATAGGGAAAAAAGCAAGTAATCAAGAAGAGTTCTTTTTGTAGGACATGAGCAAATAATTTGAGAAGGGCATAAACCAAAAAACACCATGAAAATCTGATAATTATGGAATGACAGCAATCAATACATTATGATGATACACATAATAAGAAAATGAAAAATACCTTGATTTGTCCTTTGAATAAGTTCATCAAGTTCAATTTTGATAGCAAAATAGAGCTGTTTCCACTTCTCAATTGTCTCATCTCTTCTAACTTGTTCTTCCCTAATATAACACTCTTTATCCCCTTTTTCATGATTTTCCACTCCTTTGAATTTCTCTTCTTCTTTTTCTTCCAACTTCTTTTTCAATTTATTCACTTCCTCTTTAAGTTTCTTCTTTTCTTGTTTCCACTCTGCTTCTTTCAATGCAAAAATAATCATCTCCTGTTGGTAAGTTTGACTCTCATATTCCCTTATGCCCATAATTTCACTCACCTCAGTTTGAAGAAGCCTTACTTTATACTTCAACCCTTCAATAATTTTGGCATTTGGATTGCTTTTATCCTTAGTTTGAAGACTCCCCATTTGGTAATTCCCTTGGCTTCCTATTCTTTTAGTTAAACTATTACAATTGGCCCCTATGTATATATATAGATAGTGTTTGCATATGCAGGTTTGTGTGTTCTAATAAAGGGCTAAGTCAAAGAGTCCACGTAAGATGCTTCTCATAATAGAGTTGGCTAACATTTAATTATAACTTAACAGAAATAATCAAATAGAGACACTAAAGTAAAAGTGATAAACTCATATGTCTAACATGTCTACTACAACACCGTTTGATAAAGGAAATAACGATAGTGAAAAAATAACGGAAGGTAAATCCGAGGCCTGCGGACATTGTGGAGGCATACCTTGAAGTCTCCAGAAAGCAACTAACCAATCAATCACTAGCGTCTAGCACGGGTAGACGTACCTGGATCTGAACAAAAAAATTATACGATAAGGTCACCTAAAAGATAAAAATCGGTAATTATTCATGATAAGTAACGAAAGGGTGAATCTAAGATTTAAATTTGATGGATACGATATTTAAGGTTATTAACATTAAACTTATTAATTTTTTAAGATTATAGGTTCCAAAATGATATTTGTTAAAATTTTAATGAATTATTTATACAGTATATATCTATGCACCGCATAGAAAATGTTGGATCGAATTAATTCGTTGTCGAAGGGTTTCATACGCCACTACAAGTACTTTGCTACAACATATTAAAATATACCGATACTACAAGAATTTTTTACACTATTCGCGTATATAATTTAAATATAAAAAAAAGAAAAGAGAATGAGTAGAGGATGATGCAAAGGCAAATATATATTGCAGTGACAACAACTCTTTGTAATTCAAAGAAAACTTGCAACTCTTTGCTTGCATGAATGGAACTTTGATTGGTGTAAGAAAATAACAAAATGCAATAAAGGGTATCTTGGATCAATAAAAGAGGAGAGTGGAAAGGGACATAAATAAATGCCTGAAAAAGAGGCTCCAACCATAGAATGTGAAGTGATAGCACTAATTCAATTATTAATGAAACTGTGTAAGATGCTTATGAAAGACAAGTAAAGCTAAATACTTTGAAAATGTTGACATTGACAGCTTATGAAAGAGAAGTAAAGCCAATACTTTGACAATTTTGACATGAAAAGAGTGACAATTGAGTGCATGAAACAAATGAGACGATCTAAAACTTAAATTTTATGGGTTCAATTCATAAGATTTTATGTTTAAAGGTAAATTTTTATATACATATTAAAAAAAATAGATTTACATAAATTGAAACGAATGAAGTATAATTTTAATAAATATTTACACATAAATTTTATTTTGTGTCCAAAATATAGCGTTAAGATGAATTCCATACTACAAGGCTACATCCAATATTTCCAAAATCACATGTAAATCATTTATAGGAGGAGCGTGTGTGTGGGGTATTGAATTTTAGATCTCTTTTTGCCAGCTCTTTCTTACTGGGCCTACATTCTCGGCGGAAAACATGGTGCGCATATTTGACAATAAATCTTTCTTTGAATATACCTTTTTCGGCATTATAATACTATTCTCTCCGTTTACATGTATATATATGTGATACATTTTATTTTTGTTGGTCTAAAAGGAATAACATACTTTAAAATTTAAAAATAATTAGTTTTTTATTTTTATTTATCATTACGGAAAACTTTATAATCACACAAATATTATGTTATGTTAAAATCTCAAGTTTTAAAAAATTTATAGCCACATAAATATTATAAGTACATATTTAATTAAAAGTCTTCATTTTTTTTATATACGGTGTAAATTTAAACTATATCACTTAAATTAAAAGTTTGTTGAGTACTGGAGTATAGATTTTGCTCAGTGGTCACATATAGACTAAAGAAAAGCTCCACGCGTCCACAAATAATTTAGCAATTGGCCAAGATTATTTTTCTGACAGTTACGTACTATGAGGAAAATGTGCACTAGTACGAATATTGATGTTTACCAACAACATGAAGATTTTTTCTTCAAGTCAGCAGAGTGGTTTCAATTTTGTTCAGAAAATTCGAGTAGTTCAAGTGTGTTGGTCAAATATATACAGAAGCACCTAACATCTTCTTCTTCTTTTTTCATTCGGTGTTTAGTACTACTTTAAGCGCCGACTAATCCAAATTACACTAATTTAAAGGGAGGGGCGGAGGGATCGCTCCTTACCAATGGCAAATCCATACCCAAGACACTAACCTGATATCTCTAGTTAAGCATGGAGGAATACATATCATTCCACCATAAGCTTTGGTGGTGCAATTACAAATGCAGATTCAGGATTTGAACTACCACATCTCATTTAATTTAATAGGTTCAAAATTTATAATTTGTACATATTTAATGATTTTTTGAGTAAAAATATAAGGTTTGAGCGAAGGCTATGAGTTTAGCTTAAAAACCCATAGCTTATAATCCTCTGGGTGCAAAAGCACCTACCTACCACCACAAGGGATGTAAATAAGGTTGTGCACATTTGATCAAGCTTTCTGAAGAATTTTGTAATAATCTAGTTCTACTATCCCTGAAAGCAAGCTTCGTATGCATTTCGTTTTTAACCCCTCCACATGCAAGTAAATTTATAATTTGAACTTCCTTTCTGATGAATTAAACTTTATGCTAAGTTATGACTTGCAGCACATTAGCAATCTTGGTACTGAGCATGTTGAAAGAATTAACGAGATCATTCTTTTGATATATTCGGCTTTAGACCCAAAAACAAATACATCAGTACTAAGACAACACCAAAAGTTTTTAAAAAAAGAAAGATCATTTTGATCCTTTTCCTCCCTGTTCCCTATTAATTCACAAGTAAAACCATCTCCTAAATATAAGTATTAACAAACTTATCTTGAGTCTCTTCATAGTAGTTTTTCATCATCCCCTAACTTTTTCTGTAGCATTTCTCATCTCCAGTCTCTGTAGGGCGTTCGGTAGGTGGAAAAAATGGACAAAGGTTCTGATCTGTTGCCAAATCTGTGAAATTATCAAATATCACATCTTCTAAAATGCCTCCTAGAAGCAATTTGCTTCTTCTGGGAAAAAATGGGACTATGAACCATTAATAGTACACATAAACCATCTCCATCAGGCCACAAAAAATACAAGGCGTAGAGGAGAAAAGATGAACTTTTGATGGATAACACTTGTCTAACTCCATCATGGAAACTAAATAAGCTTGCTGGTTCTCCGCCTTGATGGTCCTCCAGGAAATAGCTTTATGATCCATCCCAAGACTCGTTCCACCACCTGATGCAAAAGAAGAAAGTATACTCAAAGACGAGGTAGCAAGTATGAAATTTAATTATAAGGAGATGAGGAGGCTAAATAGTGAGAATGGTTGACGCGCAAGAGAATGAACACCTGATAACCGGCTAGCAAGCTGTGTTACACTTTATTCCAAGATCTCAAAATGAAAACTTACAAAAGGCTAAAATTTGTTGGAGAAAGAGTGTTCAACTGGTTCGAGAAAACATAAAGCAACAGTCCTATAGGTGGATGTTTTAAGGCATCGCTGCGTCATAGCCATTCCTGTAACTAGCTAAGCTATGTTTGAACCTCTACAATTTGCAGATGTTTGAAAACTGATATCTGTATTTTATAATGTTTCTATATTTCTGACAGGTCGATAAAGCTACAACAGCTTACTCTTGAAGCATGGCTTAAAAAATAAAAACAAATCCAAGGGCACAATGGTGTTCCCTTTTTATTCAAAGGGTGCTCTGTGCCAACTTAAACTTCAAATTCTAAATACAGAGTGAGATAGAAGTACAAGTGTTAAAATTGATAGATGAAAGGAGAAACTAAATAACTTTAAGAGGATGGTATTTTACAGGCATACAGAAGCAGTTATATTTAAGTCATATGAATACAAAAAGGTTCATACAGTATCGTTATAGAATGAAAAGTTTCAAGGTACATAATATTACCTCATCACCTTCATCAGCATACGTGGTGCTGTCGTGCATGGATAGAGCATCTGGTTCCCTTGTTTGGTTGTTACCAGTTGCCATGCTTTGAGAAGTCAAAAGCTCTAATCTTTGTGTTTGAGCTTCAAGCTTTTGGGTCAAGTCCTTATTTAACTCCTTTACTCCGCAAGGAACAAAAGAAAAATCCACCACAAAGTGTAGAGAAAGAAAATTGTTAGTATCCACCTTTAAAATTGCACTTCCCAAAGCACTATATGAAGATTGAAAGATATTTGAGAAAACATGCGCAAGCATACTAGAGGGGCTGGCTTACAAAAGGAGACACACAACCAAAAATGGTACATTTGCAATTATACATCGGTGATTTATGTAGAAGCAACAGAAAGAGGAAAAGCGCAAAAGGATCCTAAAGTTAAGGTGAAAATATAATTTGACTCACATATTAGATCCAAAAAGGAAAAAAGTACTGAATGATATTACTAACAAGGATAGTGGCTTCATCAAAATACCTGCAATTTTGAGCACTGAGATGATTCCAGTGACAAGGCTTTCATCAACTCTTCTTTCTCCAAGGCTAACTGTAAGCATCCAAGTTGGAAGAAAATTGTTCAGATCTTTGGTATGGTAAAAATGCCTTAAAATATAAGCAGCTAGGCAGACAGGAAGTTGAGGGAGCAAAAATGATCTATCTCAAATATTTTATGCGAAGGAAGCTACCTCAGAAACCAAAGTATTGATGTTTTGGATCATCCTTATCTGATATGGAGGAATGGCCGTTGATAAACTTTCAAGACTGAGCTGGTCATTCTCAGGCAGATATGAAAAGGTCGGGCCCTCAGTACTGGGAGCTTCTAAGTTAGGGTCGTCCATGGTAGTATTTACGACTTTATCTTCACCTGAACCGATACAACACCATATAATTGAATCTTATGAAAATGTAAAAACAAACATAAAGAGACATTCTGAAGATGTATTGTGAAATCTGAAACCACATACGGAGATCCTCTGTTGAAGTCGATACATCTTTTTTACTAGGAATACTCCTGCTAACATCAAGTGATTTGCTATTACCAGAAGCTTTTCGTAGTTTCACCTGCAAGAGCTTCTTTTCTGTAGAGAGAAAGAAAAACAAGAAGATCTCAATACACGTATTGGAAACTGGTGGGGAAAGAAATGGCAACTCTATATCACTCTAAACCAAGTACAAGCAAAATCACTCAAGTTAAAAATAGGGGTCTCTAATAAACTGGCAAGGGAAGAGATGACACTTCAATTTTTCTCTAAACCAATTACAAGTAAAATCACTTGAACATTCCTTGATAATTTAATATTGCTCTAAATCAATTACAAGCAGAAAAACTCAAAAGACTCCAAATAGGTTCTTGGATAAAAATGGTAAATGCCTCTAACACCTGCAGCGTTTGTCCAAGCAGGCTCTGAGAGAACGATAAAGCTTTTAAATTTTCGAGGTTTGAGGATCAGATATCAGAAGAGGAATTAGTGTATAACTATATATATTTTAAAGCAAGACCAAGAGAGAAGAAAACTCAATCATTTGCTGGCACAGTCATAAAGAAATATCTTGAATTCTTGCATGATAAACTTACCAACCACTCAAAAAGAAACGCTCACATATTTCTTCTTGAATTTTCGTATCACACTAGAAGGCTAACTAACCAAATAAACAGTCAGAAAAGAAATCGTTCATTGTTTTAAAACATGTCGAATGGGTCTATTATTAATAGTCAGATCCAGCCCCTGCTCGGACTCTCCGGATGCCATTACTGTTTCAGCTTACAAGATAAGCATTTATGCAAGATCCAAACAAGACCTTCAAAACTGTATTCCCCAGTGGTTTATTACAGGAAAGTTTTTCTGCCGGTAGATAAACTCAACCTCCATAGCCAAGCAGCAAATGCATGGACCTACTTACTTCACTACAACAGTAAAATTATCACACACTTCCGAAATCTGTAATCCAGTTGGTAACAACAAAAGAGTATTAGGTAGTTATTTGATTATGATAGTTGACTTATATAATAGCTGATGTCACAGAATAACATTGTGAAATAGATTGTTTATATTGAGTCAAACTGCCATAGGAGGAAGCAAGAAGGTATTATCTATGTGAATTTTATTTAAGGCGGTGAAGAGGAGATGTATATCAATATAGCCACAGCTCATGTATTCCTACAAATGAAAACCACCTTGTTATCTAGCACACAGCCACTATCTTCTTACCTTCTTTTAGAGCATCAATTGTTGACAACAGATCCTGACGGTCCTTTTCAAGGCTAGTCATTTTCTTTCTGCAGAAAAACAAGAGAAAGTTGAATGAGATCAACACCCACATTTAATGCAATTTAGAAGTCAATGATTAAGGAAAAACGAGTCATATGCCACTCAAGTATTTATCCCATAGAATATGCATTTAGATGATTTATCTTTTTATAAACAAGATGAGATAGGCGCAAGTGGGAACAAGGAAAGCTGCTTTCTTTTTAAGAGGTATGGTTTGGAGCATATAATGTTACTTTTGGGTCTAGACATGAAACATATTTCTTCTTATCTTCAGAAGATGGATGTCAGGTCAAGGACCCCATATAATTAAGCTCCTGGATTTAGAATTATTTTGGTACTTTGGCAAATTGCCGTATATCGAAAGGAATCATAAGTATTCAGCAGTTGAGTGTAAGATATTCAGCGGTTTCCTAACTTATTCTAAGTCAATTATCTGAGTACAAATCAAAGTTGTTGAAATTTTAATCTTAGTAAAAAATAAGAATCCTCAAGGGAAAATGAGAGTTGGCAGCTAATAAACACATGTTTTCCTTAATATATTGGCGGAAATGTTACTTAATTTCTAGATTTTTCGTCAAACCTTTTCATCCTCTAATGTTGCTATTCTTAACTTTTCAAACAGTAACCTCTGTCCACTCTTGCAGAGTATTTGCTTTCATTCCTCAAGCCATATATCCTTATTACCATATACCTATAATCATCACAACAGCACTCTAAATCAGCCAACTAACTATTAACATCGAACTCCAAAATAAGTGAGTCAGATCAGATTTACTTAGTTTCTGGAGATCTGTCTTTATACCAGTTGCACATCTTTTCTATTAGTGAAAGCACAAGAAGTTCTCTGCAGCGCCAGCTTTCCAAAACATATGTATGGGGCGGACTTGCAGTGCAACAGGAAAAAAGCACCAGCATGATTCCATTGTTTAATAACTGGTATGCGATGTATTCCTATCATAGTAATTTCATTAAAATGATTCTGTTATCTAGTTTCCCTTAGATTTTATCCCAGTTATGATATCTTCTATGCTATCAATGATTTCCACCTGCATCTAACAAGAAACAACAAAACCACAAACCAATTTATGTTTTTGCTCCAAAAGGAAAAGATGCATCTCCACTCTCCAAAAGGGTGGGTCGTTCATGTGAGAAGGCACGGGAAAAAATAAGATTGATATTATTCTCATATGTTAAACATGATACAATGAGCCTTATATATATACATAACATGTCCTACTCCTAATATATATGGGATTAGGGTTACACAACTATTCTAACACTCCCCCCTCAAGCTGGTGCATATAAATCATATGTACCGAGCTTGTTACATATGTAGTTAATACGAGGACCAGTGAGAGACTTGGTGAAAATATCTGCAAGCTGATCATTCGACTTCACAAACTTTATAGCAATATCTCCCGAGAGTATCTTTTCTCTGGCAAAGTGACAGTCAATCTCAATGTGTTTAGTTCTCTCATGGAACACTGGATTTGACGCAATATGAAGAGCAACTTGATTATCACACACAAGTCCCATCTGACTAATCTCACCAAATTTTAACTCCTTGAGCAACTGTTTGATCCAAATTAGCTCACATGTCGCCATAGCCATTGCTCGATATTCTGCTTCTGCACTAGACCGAGCAACCACATTCTGTTTCTTGCTCTTCCACAATACCAAATTTCCTCCTACTAAGACACAATATTCAGAAGTAGAACGTCTATCAGAAGGTAATCCTGCCCAATCAGCATCTGAATATCCAACGATCTGCTCATGACCTTGATCCTCAAACAATAAACCTTTGCCTGGAGCTGATTTTATATACCGAAGAGTGCGAACAACTGCATCCCAATGACTAACATACGGAGAATCCATAAACTGACTCACAACACTCACAGGAAAGGAAATATCAGGTCTTGTCACTGTAAGGTAATTTAATTTACCAACCAACCTCCTATATCGCAGGATCGCTAAGAGGCTCCCCCTATCTTGGCAGAAGTTTAGAATTCGGATCCATCGGAGTGTCAACAGGTCTACAACCTGTCATTCCTATCTCCTCAAGAATATCTAAGGCATACTTCCGTTGTGAGATCACAATACCTGAGCTGGACTGAGCGACCTCAATACCCAGAAAATACTTTAGTTTGCCCAGATCCTTAGTCTGAAAGTGTTGAAAGAGATGTTGCTTCAATTTAGTAATACCATCCTGGTCATTGCCGGTAATAACAATGTCGTCAACATAGACCACCAGATAAATACAGAGACTCGAAGCAGAATGCCGATAGAATACAGAGTGACCAGCTTCACTCTGAGACATGCCAAATTCTTGCATAACTGTGCTGAACTTACCAAACCAGGCTCGAGGAGTCTGCTTTAGACCATAAAGTGACTGGCGCAAGCGACATACAAGGCCACGAGACCCCCCCTGAGCAACAAACCCAGGTGGTTGCTCCATATAAACTTCATCCTCAAGGTCACCGTGTAAAAAAGCATTCTTAATGTCCAGCTGATAGAGTGGCCAATGGCGAACAGTAGCCATGGATAGAAAAAGGCGGACTGATGCTATCTTAGCTACCGGAGATAAGGTATCACTGTAATCGAGCCCAAATATCTGAGTATATCCCTTGGCAACAAGACGAGCCTTAAGACGATCAACCTTACCATCCGGACCAACCTTGACTGCATACACCCAACAGTAGATTTACCTGAAGGAAGAGGGACGAGCTCCCAAGTACCACTCGTATGTAAAGCAGATATCTCGTCAATCATAGCATGTCGCCATATTGGATGAGACAATGCTTCACCTGTAGACTTAGGGATGGAAACAGAGGACAAAGAAGATAGAAAAGCATAATAGGGTGATGACAAACGATGATAACTTAAACCGACATAATGGAGATTAGGATTAAGGGTGGTCCGTATACCTTTCCGAGGTGCAATCGGTGTACTAGGAAGAGACAAGTCCGCAGTAGGAGCAGGGTCAGGTGCAGGACGTGAATCAGCTGGGCCTGATGCTGGGTGCGAACGACGATAATATGTCAAGAATGGTGTTCCTGTGGCAGGGAGTGTAGGAGGAGCCACACTAGACTCCCCAACGGTTGGAATGGGTAAGACTTCTGTTGCGGAAGGTGAAGCATTATCTCATCTAGGATGGCGACAAGCTATGATTGACGAGATGTCTGCTTTACATACGAGTGGTACTTGGGAGCTCGTCCCTCTTCCTTCAGGTAAATCTACTAATGGGTGCATGCAGTCAAGGTTGGTCCGGATGGTAAGGTTGATCATCTTAAGGCTCGTCTTGTTGCCAAGGGATATACTCAGATATTTGGGTTCGATTACAGTGATATCTTCTCTCCCGTGGCTAAGATAGCATTAGTCCGCGTTGGAATGGGTAAGACTTCTGTGGCGGAAGGTGAAGCATTGTCTCATCCTGGATGGCGACAGGCTATGATTGACANTCGACTCCCAAAGACATCGTTGGATTATCACCAAATAACAGAAAGAATCAACTGACAACTTGCTAAAACAGATGAAGGAAACACTGTTTTTTGCCGGAAAATTACTGTAGTTGCCGGAAAAAGTCAGTGTAGTCGCCAGAAAAAACTCAAAGTGGTCGGAATCAAACGAAAAAGGTATGGATAGACTCAGAATTACTAGGCGATCCGACTGTCCAACTGGAAGTTTTCAAAAAATGGCCGGAACACTGCTCACACGCCGGCGCGTGGGTCAGATCTCGCCGGAAAGTTTCTGGCGCATGAGGGCGCGTGTACGTGAGTTTTCGGGTGGGGTTTACTGGGGTTTGGTCGCCGGAGCCTGAGGAGTCTTGTGGTGGTGTTGGTTTTTTTTTTGCACACACCAACAGAAATTGATGTGATTACGGGCAGCCTTCTAAGTCGTCGGAAAATTGCACGGCGACGAGGTCTTTCTTCCCGGAAGTCGCTGGAATGATGCACAACGATAGATTTCTCACTAAAGCTCTGATACCATGTGAGAAGGCACGAGAGAAAATATGATTGATATTATTCTCATATGTTAAACATAATACAATGAGCCCTATATATATACATAACATGTCCTACTCCTAACACATATGGGATTAGGGTTACATAACTATTCTAACAGTTCAAAAAGGACAAGGCAAGGATAATGAAGAGATGGGAGGAGGGGATGAACAAATATAGCGAAAGATGACAATGACCAGATCAGAGTTCGGAATGAAAATTATGGCCTAGACGTGTTCACAGGAAAGCTTTGAGCATACCTGAAAGAAGATATTTCAGCTTGTGATTTCTCCAATTCCCTCTCCAGTTTAAGCTCATTAGATCTCAGACGAAGTGCCTACAAGATTGTTTAGTCAAAGTTATTATCCCGGAGTGGAGTAAATTATCATATATCAGAAAAACAAATTATCGCACTTAATCATCAATTCTGAAGAAAAGAAAACTAGAGAAGGCACAATTACAAAAAAGAGAGAAGACAGTCCCAAAATTCTAACATCAACAGGAAATATAATCAAATAAGAAACATGAGCAACCGTATGCACTGATCCAAAGGAAAAATAAAATAGACAACAAAGATTGGACATATAAATAACCCAAGTCAGCATTGTGATCCAAGCCAATTTAAATTTCATTTTTAAACCATAAGAAGAAGGGATGAAAGATCGCATACCACCCTAGTATTACATGTGACAACATTTATCAAAAACTAAGTTTTACATGTGACAGACATTGAAAAGATACCTCGGTGGAGGACTTAGCAGATTGGAAACAAAAAGTTCAAGACAAATGTAATTCCCTTGCAGAATTCTGGACAATTGATGAAGAAAAGCTAAATTCTTTGCATATGACCAATGCATTGTTATGAGGCTACCATATGAGTTCTCAGATAGCCTCACCCTACACTTTTAAAGTGATATATCAGGTGACTCCGCATAACATGTGTTGGCTAAAGATTTTACCAAAAAAGAAACCATATATACAACAGACTTTATTGGCTACACTCACAAAGCTAAGTTGCTTTCAAGTTTCAAGTCCACAAACGTGAATATCAATAGGAACTAAACACTATTTAAGTGGAATACAGATTCTCTTTTGAAAAAAAAGGGTATGTCTGTCTTCTAAAAGTATAACTCAGTAGTTTTATTTAATGTTTAAATTCATTTTAAATTCTCCGTAAGGGCTTCGTGAAGGAGTTGGGTCAACATCAGGCAATCCCATGGTTGGTTACCTTCTCTTCCAATCCAATCACTTCAGAAGCCAATAACCTCGCACGTTCATCTGCAGCATTACATTCCAGTTGTACGTTTGCATATTCCATTTTCACAGCTTCAAGTTCAACCTACTTACATTAGATGCAACAAATAGAAAATCAATAACCTCCAAGATTATGGTAAGAATCAAGTCCATTACTATGAATAGCTAAAATGCATAAGGCTATGTTAGTACAAATTTAGGTTGCCAGATATCTGAACTAATCTCATTATGAGAAACCAGTTCATTCCACAATTCCAATTCCAAAAACATTCTCCTAATAGGATCGCCGATGTATCCTTTACTATAGAGTTAAGATGAATGAACACATTCTTCAATAGGCATTAACATAAGAAATACGGTTCAAATTGTACCCATTTACAAAATTTGTATCTGGAAAACCATTCAACATCATTTCTAAAAACTCTTGAACCTTGCTGAATACTTCATGACGCCCCCTCAAAAGAAAAAACAGAAGAAAGAGGGGTGACCAAGAACTATGGTTCATGACCAAGTTTTTAATGTCAAAAATATATGTATAAAGGGCAGCCCCATGCACAAAGTATCCTGCGTTCACGCAGGGTCTAGGGAAGGGCCGCATCCCAAGAGGTTTGATGTAGGAAGCCTACCCTAATACAAGCATCAGTGATTGATTCTACGGCTTGAACCAATGACCTATGTATAAGAAATAAAAATGTAAATCACTACAATTTATCAAGAAAACAAAAATCATTAGTGCGACGTACTTAGAGAAGAAAAATCGTTGGATCCTTCAACATACTATCAACTCTCCAGATCTATCAAATAATTATTGGTAATCAGGTGCTTCATATGTCACTCATTTATGAGAGTCGAAATAAGTTATGCAACCCAACAGGAGAAAAAAATAAAAAAATGAAGAATGGAAGATCCAAACAACCAAATTTATTTGTACTCTTTAGAAACAACGGAACAAATTTACCCTAACTTTCCGCAACATTTTTGTTATTCTACCACTTTTAAGATGTCATATCAACAATAGCAAAGCAAATAGGTTGTTTCACTTGGTCGATCAACTTGAAAATGCACCCAATTCACTAACACTTTTAATAAAATCAGTGGCAGACACTAACACCCAATACCACCAATTCACAATTTTAGCTATGTTGTGCAATGTAATTCAAAGTGTCAACATCAAAAAGGAAAACACAGATCAGCTAATACAGCAATAATTGGGAGTAAGTAAGCAAGATTTGTACAAACCAGTTGTGCTTTAATTTCCGCCTGCAAGTTTTCTATGTCGCCCTTTAATTGGGTAACAAAACTGCCCTGCAAAAGAAAATTAAGCAACTGATTAGAGTAAGAAAAATTCTTTCTTTTAATTTATCAACAAAATTTCCAAGAATGTTAGACATGTGAAAACAATACTTAATGCAACAAATGTAACTGGTGTTACACAAGCGAACCCTCAAGGAGAAGACTGGACTACTTGTTGCTACACGTTCAGGTTGTTAATCACTTGTGTACCGAATCATTTTGGAATACAGTAGTCAATGTTGGCTATAGTTAAGCATGCGAAGTTCAGCAGGTGTTTCAGAAGAAGAAAAAGAAGATGTAGATCATGGGATGTAGCCCTTTTAGCTATCATGCGGGTTCTTTGGGGAGTAAGGAACCAAAGATCCTTCAAGGAAAATGATTTATACAAATGAAGGCCTATATTGTGTTTCTTAGGTTTTTCAGTGCACCCATGAAGTTCATACTAGTAAAGATGATTTAGGTGTTATTTATAGCAAATCATAACTTTGTGTAGAAGTTTCCACCACGTTAATGAAATAATTACTACTCCTTCTATTCCATTTTATGTGACACTGTTACCTTTTCAAGTGTCTGTCTATGTATTCAGCCAATCTGTTTAATATATATGAACAGATAATGTGTACCTGTTGGTTATAACTCTCTGTCAGGGCTGAATTTTCAGCAGCTAGAGACTCTGCCAGAGCTCGTGAAGCCTCAAGAGCACGTTGCGAAGAGAACTTCTCTTGTGTTAAATCTTCAATATGCTGTCAAAATGCAAAAGTAAACATCATACAAGTATTTAACAATTTAATACCCTGATGCAAAATCCTACAACCCTGAGAGTTATGCAATCACGTATGGTCCCTATTATCCTCGCTCACTGCACCTCGATGTAAATGCAAGAGACCATTCTTAATCTTGCCAGTTTCTCTAACCAAGCACTTGAAGTGTGCTCTTGTACTGACAAACATTCAACAGGAGAAATGACTAACAGATGGAAATGTGAATATTCTCGTTCTAGTAAACAAAGGATCTTTTTAAGATTTGAGTGAAAGAAACGTGATTAGCCAGTGTTCACTTCACATCAGAGCATATTTATTAAGATATTTAACATGTTAAATTAATTTACTTCTTTCAGCTTAATCTCTACACAATCACTGTCTTTTCCAAGTGCATGTACTACAATATAAATTTAAATCGATTTAACTAACGCAGACCTCAAGGTTAGCGGCAGTATTCTACCTTACTAACATTTTTTGCGTCGCGTTCAATTTTACCGAGCCACCATCCACTATATTTTATAATGAAACTTTTTTAGTCTTCATATTTCAATGTGAAAGACTCAAAATCTTGCATTCAATTCACAGAATCTGGATCATCTAAGACTATATAGGAAATTTGGTAGCTCAACTTCGGCAGTTCTCTTCAAGACGCATCACACAACTGGCAAGTGGACGGCTTTATTATTAGTGCAACGTTCTCACTACTAAGAATAATTTTCAACAGCAGAGTGCTTTTCATATATTAGCCATCACATAGCAGTATCTTCAAACTAAATTTTGACTTCGAAGACATACTGACCTAAATTTATCACTTCTAAAGCAAGGGAAACAAATGCCAAAAAAAAAACCTGTTCTAAAGCTGCAAAATCTTCATTCTGTTTTTTTGCATTAAACTGATAATGGTTGTCCATGTTGCCCGTGTCTTTCTCAGTATGATGATTCAACTTATCAGACCCATTAGCAGAAAAAGTTGAAGAGTTCATCATGTTCCTGGAGTTGGACAATTCCAAAGTGTCCGTGGGATGAACCTTCGGGTCAAATCTGTCTGCAGAAACTGATTCAGTTGGAGAAGAGGATATAGCAGGAACTTTTGAAATGTTGATGGAATCAAGGAAAGATGGACGAGATCTCCTCCCAACAGTGGGTGGAGGCAATTTTGAATAACTAGAAGAACTTCTTGCTTCAGAACTGATGCCATCATATTTAGAATCAGATGGCCAAGAAGATGAATTGTTGGTCATATAAAAACCGGAGCTGCTAAACTGGCCATACCCAGTATCAGAAACCATAGAACTATTAGCTTCCACAGCACTGTCCTTTTGCCCAACTTGCAAAGAAAAATTTGTGCTGCTGGTTGCAGGGTGCATATAATCTATAAAGAAAAAAGGGGGGAATAGATGTCAGATTATGCAACCCCAAGTGATTAACTGAATAAATGAATAGCATATATGCAATGAGGTTTGCTAGGTAAAGGGAAATCAGAATACAAGGGATAAAAGGAAGTTAAAGCAAAATTTAACATACCACAAAATTACCTTCATATGACGAGGAAGTCAATCTACTAGCCAAACGATCCATATAACCTGGTTTTTCTTGCAGATGAGGACCAAGGGAATATTCAGGTGAAATCCTAGCAGGTGCAGAATGAGAAGTACCAGTATCTATTACAGAAAGATCCTTTCTGCTGTTTTCCTCTGGTATGCTTTTACCCAGACCATCATGAGTAAACTGACTGGAAATTTTATTGTAACTGGGGGCTGATGACTGAAAATTAGCTGTAGAATGACTAGTCTTAAATCCAAATCCAACACTTCCTAAGGCTCCATAATTTTCCGTCTTTTCAGAGGAATCATAACCATCGCTGAATTGTTTACACAACTTTAGATTTTCATCACCCTTAAGCACTTTATCTCCAGAATGAGATGACACTGAGATGGAAGAATCAAAACCATTATTGTTTCCACTAACAGTAGAAGAAGCGCTAGCATCATTGTCATTGTTGTATAAACTATGAGTTGAACTAGCATTAGCATCATAGGAAGAAGCTAAACTACTCTTCTGGGCAAGATCAGGATTCATGAAATCATGCTTAACATCTGCTCGAGGTAACTCTAAAAATGCTCTACCAACTGCATCAGATGTACCAGCCCCACGAGAGTCAGTGATTCTTGTGGGTTCATTTTCCAGAGGCTGATTCTCAAAGCCTCCATCCGAATTGTGAGGTTGATTGTTGGAAGTAGACTTTTTAGACCTCTGTGCTGCTCTTTGTTTACGAAACTCCTCTAGCTGCAAATGATACAAAATAAATAATTAAAAGATCATAGAAACATTGCACCAAAATTTTAATATAAAAAAACCATTCTGATACTCCAACCAAATATTCACCAAAATCAACACTCCCCATCACACATCGTTGCTATTGCTAATCAAGGCATTACGAATAGGCATATTCTTTCTCAAAAGAATAGGCACAAGGGAAAACAGAAACTACAGAGGCAAACACTATTCTGCAAATGGTCACCCTATCTAAAAGATAATGCGCATGTGAGATTACATTACAGAGGCAAACGCTATTCTGCAAATGGTCACCCTATCTAAAAGATAATGCGCATGTGAGATTACATTACAGAGGCAAACGCTATTCTGCAAATGGTCACCCTATCTAAAAGATAATGCGCATGTGAGATTACATTACAGAGGCAAACGCTATTCTGCAAATGGTCACCCTATCTAAAAGATAATGCGCATGTGAGATTACATTATTACAAATAGGATAGGTATCGAGAAGATCCCATTGATCTTAATTGAAATTCAGATCATTAAGGCTCAAAGTTCGTTATCACCTTTACATGTTGTAGCAGGTAACCTGCCTTATTCTCAAGATTACGAATGCCATTTTTATGGAGGGTTACTGGTAGATATCATTTGAGTGACCCGATAGTATAAAAAGTTGCACTGTCGTGCATATAAGTTAAACTCATACAAAATCAACATTTCTGATAGCAATTCACGCATACCACAAATCGTAATCAGTTCATTAACATTATTCAGAACAAACATTAAGCAAAAGATAACATAAAAAACTGATCAAACAAACAGTAAGAATATCCTTAACTACAATGACTCATTATTTTCCGCCAATCTAGTAATTCAACACATAAATGAATCAATAAATACAAAAGCAATCAAATTAAAACTTTCTAAAATGTTCGAATTCGTACCTTCTTTTTCCCAGCTTGCAAATGCTCTTGCTTACGCAGCACCTGAGCCGACGCCATTAAATCCGAAATCTCAATCAACAAAACTAGAAAAAAAATCACTTAAATCATTGTCGAAAACCCTAAAATAATTATCAGGCTGTCCTCTAAAACACAGATCAATTAGCAATGTAAGTGAATCTGTAAATCAATTGGTGCACGAATGGAAATAAATATAGAATTGAATTGCCGTTTACAAGTATTTAATGGGAGAAAATTGGTAAATTTTGAAAGATTGAGGAGGNATATATATATATATATATTCCTTTGAAGTTTTTGGGATTGAGACATATACACCTTTAGGAATCATTTAGTTCAAAGACAAATTATAGATGGATTAGTAATACAAAAAATAATTGAATAACTTTTGAAATATTAACGAAGCATTTGATTAAAACTTTGAACATAAGAAGCGTGGTTCTGCATATTAGACATAGGAAAGAAAAAAAAATCTAGTCTGAAGTGACGAGGTAATTTTGTCATCGTAGTACTACTTTCTGTAATGTTATTCCGTATTACAGAAAATAATCTATAAATTTTGTATAGCTTATGCTTGTATTAATCATACAAAAAAAGCGAAATACAATTATTATTTATGGTAAAATTTATACTATAATTGTTATGCAACCAAACAACGTAATATACCGAAACTTACACGAAAACAATTTGTATATTAGTTATGCTCCTAATTATGTGTTTTTGTTTGACCAATTAGACAGCGATAAAAACTGACGTAATAAAAGCTTCTTTTTCCATGAAATATATCTTGGTTTTGTATGTGACAGTGACTCGAAGTCGAAACACTATGTTCCTATTAACTTAACAGAGTATTCATATAGGGATTGCAGCATTGCTGATTAACGACTGAACAAGACAAAATGGATACACACAATTCATATAGAGAATGAAGCGTAGTTAATGAAGAGAGTTGGTCGAGGTTTTACTGTTAAAGAAATCTCCTTATGGTGATGTGCTGACATCTTATACATAATTAACTAGTATTACTACCCGCGCGATGCACGGACTTTATTAAAGAATATTAATCATATCAAACATTTATGATCTGATTTGTTTGTATACATTTTAACAAAATTGTAGTTATCGTCTTATCTCAATGTAAGTACCCTTATAATAAAAATATATGTAACTAAATTAAATAAATCATATAATCATCGAATAACTCTTGGATGATACTAAAATATCATACTCCTTTCTTTTCAATTTATCTGGCAGTATGAGTTAGTAAAAAATAAGAAAGACTTTTAAAACTTGTGGTCTAAAATAAACCATAAATATTTATATGCCTACAAATCAATTCATTAAGGGGTAAAGTATACATTCTACTAACAAAATTATTTCTAAGTAAGGAAAGGTGACATTCTTTTTTAGACTGACTAAAAAGGAAAAAAGTGTCACATAATTAAAACGGGTGAAATAATTATATAGTTTGTGCTCCACACAATCTAAAAATATAACACGATTCTACACAGATTAGAATATATTATAATTTAATGAATCTAAAAAATGCTTGATTTTCTATTTTTATAATTTTATTTGTTATTTGATCATCATTGTCATCATAATCATTGTTAGAACCTTTAATTTTGTCCTCGTAATGAAGATCATAAAGTTTTTCTTTTGTAAAGAGAAGTATATTTAGAGCCTTGGGGTTTGCTCCCTTTCAAGGTCTCAAGTTCGAAACCCACTGGGTGCAAACAATTTCTGAGGGCCATCGAACTGGGTAAAACCTGAATTAACCGTGGTGCACTTGCAGAAAACTCCTTGCCGAGGGCCTGTGCACCTCCGGGATTAGTCGGGGCTCGAAGAGACTTGGACACCCGATGCAAATCAAAAAAAGAAATAGTCTCATATGAGAAAAATAATGTTATGGCTTTTAATAATTAAAAAATAATGTGAAAATTATCTTTGACTGAATTAGAAGGTATTTTCAACTTATTTTTTGATAGATTCTTAATTCAGTAACTCGATTTATTGGTCTTACTTATTTAGTTATTTTATGAAATCTTATAGCTCTCAATTAGCTATGTGGATTGTAAATAGTGATGTTATATTCTTACTTTTATGTGTGTGTATATATATATAGATTCAAAAATTTATCTTTGAATACAATTTTAATTTATTACATAGTCTAACATATATTATCTTAAAATTATCAAGTGGCTTTTTATTAGCTTGCCACTTGGCATAATCTCAAACTACTCAATTCAAAATATCTATTAAAAATTCTTAGTAAATTTTGTGCTAATTTCTATTATATTTTATTCTAAATATTATTAGACTTTATCCTAAATCTTATTAGATTTTGTCCTAAAAGTCCCACATGGCTTAATATCGTTGTCAACTACTCTATTTATTGATATATCAACAATATTTTTAAGTATTATCTGTTTACTTAATTTTATCAAATAAATTTAAATTGTGAATATAATCATATTATATCTATTCTCCTCTTTATAAATTAATTTATGTTCATCAAAATTTTAATTTTTTTCGCATTTAGTGTTTATGTATAATACAAATATTATTGTATTGTTTTTCTAAATGGATGAGCTTGAATTAATTCAAAGAGTAAGCATAGAAGTTGTTTTTATTATTTATTGTATATTATAAATCTACTAATAATCATCATAGTTATTATTTTGTATTATTTTTTATGAGCAATTAAATTAAATTCTCCTTCCCCTTTGTATTCTTATCCTTTTATTATATATCTACACTAAATTTAGAGGGAAAGAATGTCATCTATTTATCAGTTTTATCAATGTTATTAGGAAATGACATAAGTTTGCACCGTTGAATTGAAGTAGACTCTTCCTAATGAAGGTCCAATTGGATGAAAATTTTGAGATTGTATTTTCTTTTAATTTGTTCCGCAAGTAGAAGTAGTTTCTTAGCAATTAGCGCAATGGTAAAAATAGCAGTGTAGAGGATTTCTGCCAAAGGTCTTGAATGAATTAGCCCAAAGAAGAAAAAGAAGAAGATCCAAAAAAGTTGCTACTATTAAACTCAATAGAATGAGAAGAATAATACCCAAATTGGATTAATAAAGGAAAAATAGGCAAAATAAAACTTACCTTACTACTGAATATATACTCCCTTCGTTGATCACATTAGAAGAATTCTCTCACAGATTTTCGTTGTTAAAATACTGCAAAAATACAAAACAAACAAAACCTACTTAGAAGTAAATTAATTAAAATTGAAATGCAGAACCTGCACTTTTTGAATAAAAAAAGAGCACCATTTAGAGTCGCACAAATTACAAATTTTAATCCATGTAGTTTAATCATTCCTAATACATTATGAGTTTTAATGAGAATATTCTCAAGATCTTCTTCTACCTTGACTCTTCTATCCCCGTCGGAGTTATCAACTTCTGTTACTTGAATGTTTCCTGCCTTGCTAGACTTTAATGCTTCATGTACATATCCACGGAAATTGTTTTTCGAAGGTTCTATCCTCGAGCAGAATACTTCAAGAAAGTTGTTCGTGCACCCCCGGTCATACACATTGATCCTGTTATCTCCTCTTAGTCCTCTACGACGAAAGTTCTCGTATGTGGTATATAAGAAAACAAACAAAATCACGAATGGGGAAAAAACAAAGAAAAAGAGCATATTGATATGAATTTAATTTTCTGATCTGCAGTTGACAACCTCAAAAAATTTAATCTTATGAAAAGTTAATTCTTGTTGTAAACTGAAGCTAATCCGAATTAAATTATACATTGACATAAGAGGTGTAAAAGACTAACCTGATTTCGACATATGAGATACAAATGGAAGAGGATTGTCAATTCAATTCAACTATACGTTTTTTCTAATTCAATATATGCAAGAGGAGAAATTCAGTTACTTTTTAAAAGGAAGGGGAGTGGAGGGAAGTGGGAGTAGTTGGTGGTTTTTATTGGTAGTTTCTATTGCTTGAATTTTGAAAAAAAAGAAGTGTAATTCAGTTAGTTTTTAAAAGGAAGGGGAGTGGAAGAAGTGGGAGTAGTTGGTGGGATTGTCCAAATTTTTTTACATGTGTCATTCTATTGTTCTGTTATTTGGTTTCATGAGGTGCTTTTGTCTTCTGCTTTTAATTATAGATAGATTTGACAATTACACATAACGAAATGGATACCGAAAATTCATATATAGAGATTAAAGCATAGTTGATTGAGTCAACATATGAGAAATCTCCTTATGGAGATGCTAACATCTTGTCCCTAGCATTCTTCATATACACAAACATCTCATCACGATCAGGGAGATTTGCTTTGATGGCTGGAACTTCTTTGAAATTCTTGATCCATGTGTTGAGACGAGGAAAATTTTGAGAATCAAGTAACTTAACTCCCACAATATCTTCTATAATCTCCATCCATTGAGCATACCCTCCAAAGGCTATGTCCACAAGCCCAATATTTTCACCACCAAATAACTTCTTTTCTCCCAAAGCATTTTCCTCTATAGTTTTAAGCATTTCCAAGCTCTCTTTTATGGCATTTTCTTGCTTCTCTCCAGTGTTGCAAAACACATTCCAGGTGTTATACGACTGCAGCACAAATTAACATCCTTTGTCAAGCATTTGAAAGGAAAGAAAGAGAAACTAAGGCATTTATTTCTGTATTTTAGGTCTCCTAGCTTGTATAAAAAGGGGTGAAATTGTGATTTTCTTTTCCATATTAACAATCGATATCAAAGCTCATTCACCTGACTAGTTCAGATTTTAGCCAGCAAATTGAAAGATTCTCGTTCTCGAAACTCAAATTCCAAACCTTTAGTTAAAAATAGAGGAATCTCAATCATCTCATCGCACCCTGGATAGTAGGGAATTACAATTTTGCTAAATAAAGTATAAAAGGAGAAGAATATAGATCTTAATAACATCATACCTTATTTTTAACATATATATTTTTATATTAATACTACACCCTTATCTTTAACATATTAACTATCGATATTCAAAGCTCATTGGCCTGACTAATTCATATTTCAGCCAGTAAATCGAAAGATTCTCACTCTCAAAACTCAAATCCGACTCCAAACCTTTAGTAAAAGATAGAGGAATCTCAATTATCTCATCGCACCTGGATAGTATGAAATTACAATTTTGCTAAAGAAAGTAGAAGGAAAAGAACGTAGATCTTAATAACATCATACCTTATCGTCAACATATTTAGCCCAAAACCGAGCCACGGCTCTGTTGTAAGGGTCAGCCGAAAGTAATGGATTCAGTGGCCATGTCTCGTCGATGTATTCGACGATGACCAGGGATTCACAGACTGACTTTTCACCATGGATTAGCACAGGAACTTTCTTGTGAATTGGATTGTATTTCAGAAGCAAAGGACTTTTGTTGGACATGTCTTCAGTTATGTATTCGTAAGTTATTTCCTTTAGCTTTAGTGCCCAAATAACTCTGTATGTGAAAAAACTGAAAGGAGTCCCTATTAACTTCACTGTTTCCATTTCAAAATCTGGATTCAGTAGAAAATTGAAGAATGAAAAGCTCACTTGTTGTAGTATTTATGTGTATTTCTTAGGGAGCAATATTGCAACTTCCAAGTTTCAAGATAAGTTTTATTTCACTTTCACTCTTGTTTAAAAAACTTTGGTCAATGTTTGTTGTTGACTTCTTTCCTTCTTAATTAGTTGAAGTTATATACTAAATTAGGCTAAAATGGTCCAAAAATACTCTGAACGCTTTGGGCCAAACTCGCACGATTTTCCCCAAAAAGTATCACACCATTAAGAGTTGAATTTTTTTTTCCATGTGAGACTTTGTTCACATACACCCAACAATCTCCCTTGAACTAAGTTCCACATGACCCATCACCATTTATGGGCTAATTTGGAGATTAACTGTCTGCAACCCACATGATCCGAGTATTTATGATCATGGAAGCCCAAAGGCTGTGTATGCGTCTTCAAAGCTACGGGTAAAGGTCATAAACCTCGTAGACGGCCAAAGGCACTAAGCCGGACCCTCACGCCACACTCTGTCATCTTCATAGTCCCGCCAAACCATTGGCTCTAATATTAATTATTAGGCTAAAACGGTCCAAAGATACTCTTAACATGGTGTGATATTGTCCGATTTGGACCAAGCTCGCACGATTTTCCCCAAAAGTCTAACTCCTGATACCTTAACCTCTTTCTTTATATACAGTAGTAATTTGAATAAATATATACTATATCTGATAAGGATTTGGAATAATTATTAGCAATTAGATGAATAGGTACGTTGTTGTCATCTTTATAGTAAAGTAAAGGAAAAGTCTATTGAGATATTTCATTAAAAAATTAAAGGTGACCTCGATGCAATAAACTATACATTTTCTTATCTTTCATTTATCAAAAGTCTTGCTAGAATAGCTGCCACAATGATCTTAAAACAAAAAATATTCGTCCTGGTAGATATGTGGAGTATATTAATAATTTCATCAACTAATCCCTTTAATTTACTGAACGCATGACCTTTAGGAAACTGTAACGACAAGTTTGACTTTGACTATATATATATATATAATTAATTTCAGATAATTACTTCACCCTCATGTACCATTTACACCCATTAAAGAAATACGAACTCTTATAGAAAAAAAAGATATATTCACTAAATTAATTTTAATTAATTGTTACCTTGGCAGTACACATTGGAATATGTAAATAAAGCCAAATTTTGAAAAAAAAATTAATACTTATTCACTAAATCTTGATTGATACTTATTTTGAACCAAAATAAAAGGTAAAATGGTCACTTATTGTGGACCGTAATCTTTACAACATTGAGATTGATATTAAAAATAGGATTGTAACTCACACCTTGGAAAAGGAGCCCCAATCATAAATTCGATTACGTTCTCATCTTAATTTATCACTTAATCAAGATAAATTAGTAAGATTTATAGTAGGGAACACTAATACTTGCAAGTGATAATATTATCAATATTATTACTACAAACCATAACAAATATCTACACCTCACTAAAAAGAACTACCTGCGCAGTGCACGGGTTATCGAGTGGTTACAAAAATAACAAGAAAAAATACTCACATTTTTTTATGGCGTTCCGTACATAATTCAACGTGACGTTCTTCATTGAAATTCTCATTACCATTCATTGCAACTATGAGTGCCTTAATTTTGCATTATAAATTCAAGTAGCAATAACAAAGAAATGTAAGCTAACAATTTCCTTCGGAAAACAAAATAAATCTAACCACTTCTTGCTCCCAAAAACAAAAAAAGTGGTTAGATTGTGAATTCCTTTGGAAATTCTCATTACCATTCATTCTCAATATGAGTTATTCCAACATCAAAGCAGCTTTCCTACTATTCATATTATCCATAAATATTTTACAAGTAAGAAGCAACAAGCTAAAAGATTTTTTTGTTACAAGAAAATTCCATGTTCAAGTTGTGAATTCCCTTCCTATAAACTCACCTATCTTGAGAGTTCATTGTGCTTCTAAAAATGATGATATTGGATACCATGACCTTGTTAAAGATGGCCAAATAGAATGGTCATTTCGTGAGCAAGTTTTGTCTAACACTCTTTATTTTTGTCACTTTTGGTGGGGTTCAAAAGATAAAGCTTTTGAAGTGTTTAATGCTTTACATGGATGTATTAAAGATTCACAACTTGATGGTCAGACTCGTCTATGCAGATGGTCAGTGACGGATACAGGATTTTTTTTGGAAGATGATAAAAGGAAAAAATATATAGTTTCCACTTGGTGATTTAATGGTTGTTATTTCACTCGATCTTATCTTATTTGGGATTGAGGTATAGTCGTAGCGATAGTTGTTGTTGTTGTTCTGTTATGGGTGTGAATACTTTTGCATGATTCGTTAGTGAGGGAATAAGTTCATTATTCTATGTAATGTGTGTTCAAATAAAAAACATAATGTAAATAAACGATGTTAGTTTTCTGGTTCATCTATTAGCGCAAGAATTTGGGCTTACGCATGTCCTTAATATAATTAATTATGTGTTTCTGATTGTTCTACCTTCAACGTAAAACACCTTCTAACTCCAAACAAACCAATCGGAACCGGCCGGGGGTATTCGGCATGGGTGGAGATAGCATTTGAAGGGTTACTTCTCTTTTGGAGATCACACACCGATCCGAGCAATCACTAGCTACAATCGATGGTATTTGATTGAAACTATTCATAAAAAAGCCGCATGAAACCTCATCCACCTTTTCTATATAGTCGCATAACCATAATAAATTTTCTCTAATGCCATACCAAACTAAGACCTTTCATACAAGGAAAGAAAGAACCCACGGCTCCCCTTTTTGAATACCCCCCTCTCACTCCCTCCGGAATGAGTTTTTTTTTTTTGGTGAGATTTAGAGATTCTGTCTTTTGCTCATATTATCTCCTATGGAGATGGATTGATATGGGCTTTCTACTTCTACCTATTTACTTCTACTTGAATTGTTTAACGAGCGTTGTAACAATCCAAAGGAAAATCTCCTGGCTCACCATTAGTCAAACTTGTACGACGCAAACAACTTTAATAGACACTATAAAACTATAATCATGTATTGGATTTTAATGAAGGAAATAAAACGTTGTTAGAATCTTGTGTATCATAATTTTTTTTTGTCAAGTGTATCATGATCTGTTCTAAAATTGGACATTTAACTTAGAATCTTATTTATTAACCATATTGCTAAACTGGCATGATACTTGAATATGGCAATATGAGTTTTTCAAAAAATGGAAAGTGATTATGAGTACATAGTTCTAGATTAGTAGATTTTATGAAGTCAATTTCCTAAAATATAACTGGAGTTCTCATAATAATGTAACAGAAAAAGTTCCAATTTAAATATATGTTTCATGAAATTCATCAAATAAATTTCTGTATTGGGAAAATTGAGTTTACATATTAAAGTGGTGTAAAGATGACGTGTCATGACACGTAGACTGGTCAAAGAGTTACAATTGGCAAAGAGGCACGAGTTGCAACAGATACGAGCAAAGGCAAAGGAAGAGGCACAAGTGGTTATG